TTTTTCATTATAATGAATTTGCTTTGCCATCCTATGTATTAAGAGCTTGGAATCTTTCAGACTGATAGCTAAAAAGATGATTTCATATTATTTATATAAAGAAAGAGATATTTTTTTGACTGAAAAAATTGTTATATAAGTAGTATGAGTATTTTTGCTATATACTCTGTTCAAAGAAGTTTAATATGATCAGTATATATGATATATTACATTTATGTGAAATTTCATATGTCTATATATGATCTTCTGGAAATTACAGATGCAGAAAAAGACACTGTATTTTATAGAAGATTTAAAATCTATTATAAAGATAGAAGTTAGTTATCAAGCATTCAAAAACTTAAAAAATATCTAGAAATTAGCTATTCATTTTAATATAGCTATATATAAGCAAGATATATAGAATAAATATAATAATAATCATTATATATAATATTAGAACAGAAGATATTAAAATAATAATTCTATGCTAATAGAATTAAATCAAGTAGAAAGTTATTATCATAAGAAAGATATATATTATAATTATGAAAAATCTAATCACTTTATAAAGAATTATTATTTAAGTATTACTTGATAATAAAGTATTTAGAAATTTTGTAAATAAAAGCTTTGTATAGAAAAATAAAGTTAAGATTTAAAAGATCAGTTCTGTAATTATTGAACTTACAAATAGCAAAAAACTTACAATTACCATTATAATCAGAATTAATAAATTGAAGTTAAATACTTATTATATATATATATTATATATATATAAGTTTTAAAATTGTAAAAATATGAATTGATCCTTGAAATATCTTGATTATTTCATATCAATTTCATTATAAATTAGAGAAATAATATTATTATCTTTATTTATGAATTAAAAACTATTAAAATTCAAGCTAATAATAAAGTAAAGTCAGAATCAAGATATAATTTAATATATTAAACCTGCTTGATCTCCGTGAAAAATTGGCACAGGAGACCCCAGTGAAACCCACTTTGAGTAAATCATTCAGTCATCGCTCCCGCCTTTGTACATACTCAAACTCGTTAGTCAACCTAACTTTCAAATTGAGTGTGACAGCACATATAATAAATGTATTGAATGTTATTGAAATCGATACTGCGATAAATGTTTAATTCACAATACTCATTATTATAGTAAATGTTTCTCGTGTCAAAAATATTACGCTTGCGATGAACGCTTTAAATATCACAAACGAATTTATAGTGATGAAGCGGAGATAAAGATATTGACAATCTAATAAAAGAATGCAACAAAACTAATAACAAATATAAAAATATATTTGAATTGATTCCTTTTGAAAGATTTACAAACGTTGCATATCTTGCAAAAGAGGTTTTAGTTAATTTATAAAGCAACCCAGTTGGTTGGATTATAATGATTATCGTTATTCTCAATGGAAACATAAAGGAAAAGAAAGGTTGTGTTAAAATCATTACACAATTCAAAGCAAATTACTCGAGAATTTATAGAAGAGGTAAAAAAGTGAACATTTTCTAAAGCCAATGGTCTGGTATTCATACACATAAAGAAGTTAGTGCATCGTGATTTTCATCCTGGAAATATATTGTCAATGCACAATACTCCTCAAGTTATTGATTTTGGATTTAGCATTCCAACAAGTATTGAAAGATCTAACTAAGAAATTTGTGGCGTACTTCCTTATATAAGTCCAGAGGTACTAAATGGAAAGCCATACACTGACGTTGCAGATATTTATTTTTTTGGAATGTTATGTACGAAATTGTAACTGATAAACGATCAATCTCTCGTTTTTTGACATCTAAAAAGGAGTACGACCTATGATATCAGATAATGTTTTCGAATGGTGTAAATTTATTATCGATAAATGTTGGGATCCTACTCCAGAAAACAGAGGAACTTGAAGACTTTATTGAGTCTATCAGGATCTATGAATGTGATTGAATGCTTTTACATATTCATTACTACAGCTCTTTAAAAAATCTTAAAACATATGAAGTAATCAAAGAGGGTATTGGATTAGAAAAACATAAATTGAAAGAGCTTGACAAGAAGATGAAATTACAAGAAAGTAACCCTACAAATATAAACAAAAAACAACAAATTCACTCAAATGAAATTTCATCAGTCGAATGTTTTCTTCGAATTTAATATCAATACCAACTGATACAAGTACTTACATTTTTTCATATTCAATCAAATAACATTTCAGATTATAATCTATATTAAATTTGAAGGTTCTACAGATACTAGTTTGTACATACCAAATGAAGGTAAATTACATTTGATACTATTTTCATCAATTTCTTTAATTTCATTATTTTTCTCGATGATAAACCAAATTTAGATATTAATATACCATACTAAATCGAAGAGATCGAATGACTTTCAAGAAAAACTGCAGATTTAAATCTTAATGCAAGCTGGTCTTACAAGAAAAACTGCAGATTTAAATCAAAATGCAAGCTGGTTTTACAACAAACCAAAAATTGTTTCAATCTCTTTGTGATTATGGATATCTTTCTTATTTTAATCATATGTATATTTATAGTTTATATTGGGAGATGAATTGATTGATTTTATTGTTTTTTATGTCATACAAAATCATTTTCAAACTTTTGTTTACTGTTACGACTATCCGATCTATTATGTCTCAAAACGGGATAATGCAAGCGTTTTGGAGAGGATTTGACTGGGTTTCCTAGGAGCGATTGGGTCTCTTTTGTTTGGTTTCTAAAGACTTATGCAGTAACTACGGTTACTGTTGATCGTAAAGGTGAGTGCGTTTGTGTGGTGTGGGGGGATTAATTAGAAAGGGGCAAAAAGGGATTATGCTACTAAAAAATGAGACAAATTTTATTATTCGTTTTAGGATTTGATGGGTAAGTTTCTTGTAAACACGAATTATAATCTTTCTACGGTCCGATTATCCTATAAAGGTAAAGCAATTTAAGCGATTACTGAAGCGAACGCGACTTTCTTCCGGTAAAAGCGTCAAAACCAGAAGTGACAAAGAAAGAGGTAATTCCTCTTTAATTACTTTGAACTTTTTATTTTAATTCACGTGTCATTTGATTGAGGCTCAAGGACGGGCCTATTTACATTAATTTTTGAGTACATTTTTGGATATACAGTATGTTAAAAGGCAAATAAACGAAAATCTAGATTAAAAACTAGACTAATTACTATTCTATTTGTAGGGTGGGCGAACATTACATCGAATGATCAGAACAGTGTAACTTAATGACCACAATAATGTACATAGTGTTCGAAACAATAGGCTGGATGGGCAGAATAATGTAAATTTTGTTAAAGAGCTCATTGCATGATCGGATGATCAACTCATTATGTATGTTAATTATCTATTTCTAAAAAAGAATAAAGTTATTATAAATATAATATCGATTGTTGAAAATGGGCATATTGATAGTCTAAATTGGACATTGTTTGTTTTGTTTGGCGGAAAATGTTTTATTTGCTTTCATGTTTATTATTATATAAATTTTTTTATAGTTATTATTTTTTTGTTCCTTATTAAATTTTTTATTACAAATATAGGACGACACATGGCTAGACTGTAATTTAGGGTGCTTATGTTTCTTGTAAAGAAATGAGTAAAAGCTAAATATCTTAGCAAATCTTTTTAATCTTTTGGTATTAATAAAGGGATGCCCGAATATTTTGAATTTTTCAGTACTTCTTTAGAAAATCCTAAAATAAAATCGCAAAAGCATTCCTATAAATACTAACAGCAAATCAGTTTACAACAGTCAAATCTTTATTATGAAATTAATTTCAATTCGATCCGAATTAGGTTGTTATTTAATAACAAGAATCCTAAGTTTAATCTAATCTAACGTGGCAGGAACATACTGTCACGCTAAATTCAGAGGTTAGTTAGACTAAAGAATTGTAGACACGACAATAGTCGAGAGATAGACTGAATGATTTACACAGAGTGGTTTTTACTAATTCTAAAGGGCAGAGAATTAAATTGACAAAGATAAATCTCAATTCAAATAGCAAAAAAATCAACTTTAAACAGTAAAGTCTTCACTTTTGCTAAGCATAAAAGAAATAAAGCTATCGATTTTGTTATGTCACAAAAGAAATAAAAACTGAAGTAATTATTGGGTAAAATTTTTATTTTTTATTTTTCTTCAAACCACACAGTGACTTGTCTCTTGTGACTTGCGAGAGCTGTTCTATCTATATCATTTGGTTGCATACTATCTAATCTATTTTACAGATTGTGAATTACACCAAGAATTTGCGGTCCTAATATACAAAGTAAGAATTTCGATAAAAGGGGCATGGCTATGCTTTGAAACAAAAAATAATAGAGAAATAATGCAGAATTAATTGTAATTACTATCAAAAGAGCAAAGTAAAATTATTACGTACGACACATAATGTGAATTCGGCAGAATATTGTAATAATGTCCATGCATCAAGGAAATAACGTACGATACAAATGTTTATGAGTTCTACTGATAATTACATTCCAAGAATGTAAAGTAAGAATGTTTGTAAAAAAAATTCGTGTTATTGGGGGTTAGTGTTGGTGCCACAAAGTAAGGAATTTTCACGAAGCGACATCAATGTTGATGTTTTGGCATTTTCATGTGATACAGATGATTAATGTTTTTTCGCACACATTACTAGGAATACATGAAATAAGATCGGCTCAGAATTTTGTAAGCACGAGACTCTTCATAATTTTCGTGATTACGGGACTTTAAGTTGCGACTGCAACAATATACATGTAATAATACCTTAACGCACGCATCTTCAAATACTTGTCGAACAGATAGGTTTCAGTTGGCCTAAATAATTAAAATTAATTTCCAAAAAGTTCATTGCCATACATATTTTTACCTGTACTTTAGACCACAGGTGAATCCAACCCTGTTCGACCAGTGAAAAAATTATAGTTCATAAGTAATCCATATTATTCAACTAATTTGTTTCGAGAAAATATAGTTATCACCAAATAAATTCCAATTCATTGCTCGACACATAATCTAGAAAATTGACAGAAACAAAGCATTAGCGGTCCCGTCGAACAAGCAAGTATGACCGCTACCGTAAAAGTGATGATACAGAAGATAGATTTTGTAAAGAAATAAATCGATCGAAACGGATCGTTGCGAAATATTTACCCATGATTTTTGTGTGTAATTGCGATGTTAATGTGGGGAATTTATACGGAACTTGGTTGAATAACGGACACACATTTGCGCGAAGCATATTTCAATGCGCGCAAGTTTTTAAATTAAATAAGCTAATATTATTTCTCAATCAGATATTATCTTCAAGGCCAACAACCCCAATCCAAAAAAAATTTTCAATGGGCGGAAAAAGGATTAGGATTATCGAAATTTACAAACGTCGGCAAAATCAAGCAGAATGCAAAAATACCAATTGAGAACGAGATAAACAAGACATAAATAAAGGGCACAAATTCAACAATAAGAATCAGTCACCGAAGACCATAAAGAAGTACCGCAATAGCAATTATTTCTTGGTTTTTATTTTCTATTGAGGAGGCTGATTTTGCGAAAATGACTCGGGTAATGATGATGGTGGTGCGTGAAGTAACTATTATACGTTCTGGAGCAATGAGCACTTGATTATTTTGTGAACCTTTGTTCTTTCTATTTGTACTATTCATTTCCCAAACCTATATTCTCATAGTAATGAAAATATTTTTTTGTTCAATTACATGTACATGTACATGTCGCGATTTATATGATTACTAATACATGTATTATCGTAACAATGCCAAGACAATACCTGTAACGCATAATTTGTGTAACGGTAACAAATCTGATTTTTGATCTGATCTTATCGTTATAACTCCGATATGTCCGTAAAAAGTTATAGAAACTTGCAGATTTCCTTATGTTCCTAAGTGTTGTGATTTTGAAAAATTCTGTAATTGAATTTATCACACATAATGCAGCAAGAGATGAAGAGATTCTTGACTGAATTTTGTCTATCATCATCCAAAACTTTGTTTTAAAAACTACGCCACATTTGAAATTGTAACCAAATTTATTCATTAAATGATAAGTAATATGAAATTTTGTTCATTTGCATAGGAGGCATTTTCATGATAAATATAACAATAAAAGATTGTAATTTTCTTTATACGATGCAATTAAAAACTTTTTATAAGAACATAAGTATCTCTAAAAATTCTATTATTTTCGTTTGCTTCAAAGTTCTGTTTTATATCTATATATCTGAATCTTTCCTCTTTGGAATACAGTGCATGTATGTACTTAGAAGAAGAACCAAATCCCTATAAAAAATTATCACATAATCTTAAATTTATGCATTTGTATATGCGTATAATATAAAGATTTTTCGAACATTTTGTAGGGAATGTCTACTTTCGGATAAAAACAAAATATTACTTTTCAGAAATTATCAAAATACATAATTTTAAGATTTATAGGTTAATGAACATTTTAGAACAACGATAAATATACGTTAAGAGAATATTCTACATAAAATGAACTATTTAATTCCACATACAGAACAAAAGTTCATTAGAATTAATTTAAATAATTTTAACTAGCATCAGGTGAATTAGAAAACAAAATCAAATCTATTTCTGGCAAATTGGAGATTTAAATCATAAAAAATCTTATTAAGTTTAAAATGAAATGAATGCAAATCATTAATTATGGATTAAGAAAACAAAATTTAGAAAGTTTGAATTTATTTAATATTATATGATCCTTTGTGCCTTTTAATAATTTTACAATTCGCTATCTCAAAAGTCTAAGTACTTGTCTTCCTGTCTTTGCTCAAACAAATATTTCTGAAGTTAGATCTAATAAAGAAGATTATTGACTATGATGCTTGTTTGTGGAAATACTATTTACAAAATTTGATCACAGTTATAAATAAATATATATTTTATAAAACTAGCATTAGAAAAACAGGCACAATGCTATAATTAGTGGCATCAATTTTCATAATTTGATTAGAACCAAAGTCGCTAACAAAGATTCAATTTATTCCTTTAATAAATTATATGTAATCAATAATAAGATTGATGATTAAAAATTTATAGCAATTAAATGCTGATGTCTCTCACAAAATGAAAAATATTGTATACTTAATTTCTGATTGACAAAATCATGTACCGCTATCGTTATCACTATTGCTTTTAATACTGTACAAAGTTACAACTGTTCAACATGAATCATAGTGGAAATAAATATGGCATTTAAATTAATTAATTTAATGAACTAATTACATCATAATAAAGTTCATCCACATTTTGGCTGCAACTTTGGGAAATCGTTAATTTATTAACGTTAGCTTAATGAAAATAAATACCGTATCGGTATATGAATGAATCAAAGCTAAACCCACAAACATCATTATTATGCAGCATATACGACACGTATCGAGTTATGGAAGAGTCAATATACATTTACATTGTACATGTACGTGCTTAAATGCCATACCATGGTTTCATAAAAGCATTAATGTAGTTAATGTAAAAGCGATATCTAGTATTACATTTGATAACGATAGCAATTATATCAAATACTTGATTTAGAAAGATTACACAGCCTATTTCTTTTTTTATCTCTATGTTGAACTTTCAAGTTATCAATGGTTTACTTTTTCATAATCGTTATTTTAACATATTACAAACAGTAACAAAGCATTGCCAGATAGCTAAAATTGCTCGCTATAAATGTGTTTCATTGAATACTAACGCTGATGCATCACATTGTTTCTTTACGTAATATTTTTTGTTCATTGTAATCAAGGTACTATTAGCATACCAATGCATGTACTTTCATAAAAATATATAAATACAGTACGAACATGTAATCTTCCAAAAAGCAAACTAAAATAATTCTTCATTATTTAATACACTTCATATCAATATAACTGTGCATAATTTATCATAATGACCCACGCATTTAAAATTATATTGGCTCTGGTGGCTTTGATCACTGTTGCTCGTGCCGCTGACATTAATATTACTGCCACGAAAGACTTAAAATTTGTACCTGACAATGTCGAAGTTAAGCCTGGTGATAAAGTAAGCATCGATATATTATTTGATACGACATTGTATTGATTCTCTCTCACAAAGGTTTAACACTTAAAGGTTACATGGATGCTTGATGACCCTAATGATCCGCATACTGTTACTCAATCTGATCAAGCTGATTGCACTCCTTCAACAAATAAAAATGCCTGTATGATTTAATTTTTATATTATATGATTTAATTTGTTAATGGAAATTCATGAATTTAATCTCTTGAATTTTTCATACAAAAAGTTAACTCTGGAGGTGCATTAAATGCTTCTGGATTTTCTTTTACGATTCCTTCGGATGCAACGCCTGGCAATCTTTATTATTTTTGTAGCATGCCTGGTCATTGTCCTGCTGGAATGAAGGCGATTTTAGTAGTTACTGGAACCAACTCAACAAATGGCAACACCACCACACATGGCAATACGACAAGTAACGGTAATTCTGCTGTTTCTGGAACCAATTCTACTTCCAATCCCTATTATTCTAGCACGAGTAAACCAAATTCTGCTAAAAGCTCTTTTGGAATGGCATTATTTTTATTGATTTCTGCTCTTTATTGTAATATTCTTTAACCATTGATTAGATTGCTTTGCTTTAATCTGTTTACGTATATAGTTTTTTTATAAAGATACACCCATAGACAAATAATAAATATAAATACTAAACATTAATTATGGCAAGGTCTCTCAAGCTTATCGCTATACAACAACATTATTACATTTATGTTGGGATACAATGCATCTAACGATACATATAATAATGATAACGATAGGAAAATTGCATAATAATTTGTTTACAGAGCGGGCATTTATAAATATCGAGGTGTTATAATACATGTTAAACTTCTTTGAAAATAAGACTGATTAATTATCGTTAATGGAGAAATAGAAACGCATCTACCCGGCTATTGGATATTCTCAACATAAAATAAAAATGAAAATTTAAAGCATATTTATGACAACAATGTTTTTGAGGTAAGCATATCTAACATATAGATAGAGTGCAAAGCTTCACACTCGGTCATATTACTATTCGATTAGCTGTTAAACTCTTATCCAAAAATTAACTCATTCATACCTATTATGTGAATTTGATGACGCAAATAGACTTTATACGAACAATATTTACATGAATCGCGATAATAAGCTTAAATTATTGGCATATAGTGTATTAAAAAAAAACGGCGGTGACAAAAATCCATATATCTCGACAATTACAAAATTAAATGAAACAAATTTAGGCTTGTTTGAAAGCTTATTAGGTATTTTATTTAATAATAAAATTTCAGTATAAGATTCTATCGCCATTATTCAATAAAATTGATTCGCATCTGCTTTGCATGGAGGAAACTAAATTATTAACTATTTCCTGAGGAATTGCATCCCATTCCTCAGTCATAAATCTCATTAATTCATCTGTATTTTGTGGCATTCGTTTTTTAACATTATTTTTCATAATTTGCCACATATTTTCAATGGGATTAATATCTGGACTGTTGGATGGCCAGTCAATTAAGTGGACCGAATTTTCATCAATAAATTCCTTAGCAACATGTGACATATGCTTCAGATTATTGTCCTGTTGCATCATCCATACATTCTTTGAGCTGCAGATAGAAGTTGGATTTGCAATATTCTCACATAAAAAGGACCATCCGTAATATTGGTAAAACAAAACAAAGAAGTTTTTCCCATTTGAGAAATACCTCCCCATGCCATTACTTTCTGATGGGACTTGGATAATTTTTGAATAGGACTGTCTCCAGTTTTATGCCAATGGCAAGCCTTATTTCAGAAGAGATCAAATGCTGTCTCATCTGTGAATATTGTTTGGTTCCAATTGTCATTTGCATGTGCCTGTGCCCATGATTTTCTCAACTCCATATGCCATTCTGTAAGCATCTGTGTTGCTAAAGGCACAGAGCTTTTATACCCCCTTTTTTCATATAATCCCATACTTTAACATGCGAAATTGATATATTCTGCATATTTTCTATTTTTGCAGTAAGTTGACAGGTTAAAAGAATATTATTACGTCAGATATTCTCCCCAATAACATGAGATAGGGTTTGTGTAAACTTGGCTTTACGTCCATTTCCATGAAATTTATTTGACATAAGCTTTTATGAAATAACTAAAATCAAAATGCAAATGAATACTCGAAAGTATGGGTTATCCAAAAAAAATATATAATGAATCATACTAATTCTAACTACGAAGAATTGACTTCGTAACAAGAATGAATTTGGATCCGGAAGAGCACAACCTAGAACGCGTGATGGTTGATATCTCAACAATTTTGGAAAGAAATGCATACAGTCTATGATACTTTTAGACGATCACTTAGTGGAAAGGCTGAGGGTAAACTGAATGAAATTAGAAAAGAGCCCGAGCATCGCAACCATTGGACTAAGAGGACATGCTGATAATATCTTGATAAGATTCGATTGCATTGCACGACGAATATAATATCTTTACAACCTGGCTTTCTTAAGCAATAATCTGCATCCGAAGTTTCATTGCGTGTAACTTCATGACATTTTGTGCAACATCATGGAGATATAAGATGCATTAACAGGGGGTTATAGAGCAGAACTTTCAAAAAAAAAAATAAATCACATCGTTGTTTGCCAGAAAATATTAGAAAATTTAATGACGACAATGTTTCAATTCTTTAATCGATACATTTATTCTTTGAAAATCTTGGTTGTCTACAATATTTGAACACACCTTTCGTTATTCCGTAGTTAAAATAAAATTTGAGGATCTTCGTTATCATTTTCATTTTCTATTGTTATTTTTTAGCTTAGGCCGAATAATGCTAGCTAACCTATAATACTTTTAATTGTCGTGTTCGAAATAGAATGATTCAGGAAATATTTGTCCAACATCTGCTTGCCCTCCGCTTCTAGAAAAACCTCTTTCTTTAAATAGTCCAACG